GGGGGGGGGGGGGCGCAGCTAGTGCCCCCTCCTCCCCAGCAGACCAGGCTTTTCTGCCCACGACGCCTGGGGTAGAGAAGCTGGGGCGCTGCTGGGTTGGTCCCGCAGGCCGAGGGGCAGCGCTACGGGGACCAACCCGGCAGCACCTCAGCTGCTCTGCCCCAGGTGTCCCCAAGTCAGCCGCTGCAGAAACTTATCAGCGGCTGACTCCAGAAAGGTAGAGCTGCTCTGCCCCGGGCTTCCTGGAGTCAGCCCTGGTCAATTTCAGCAGCGGCTGAATCCGGGACAGCTGGGGTGCTGCTGGGTTGGTCCCGCAGCCCTGAGGGGCACGCTACTGGACCTACCCGGCAGCACTCCAGCTGTTCTGCCCCCTGCTTCCCGGATTCAGCGCTGGTCAGTTTTAGCAGCAGCTGAATCGGGGAAGCTGGGGGCAGAGCAGCTCCAATGGTCCAGCTGCCCAGAGCACTTCCGGGTTCCTGATGGTTCTGGACCATCAGGAGTGCCAAACCGTCAGATGCCGGACCATCGGAGTTTTACTGTATTGCGTGTGTGTGTGTGTGTGTAATTCAGACTAATTTCCAGGGAAGTGTGATTAAGGGGCTAAGGTCTATGAAGGTATTCTGGGTTATTTACCATAAAACCAAAGCTTGAGTCGTGTACTGGTAGAACCTCTCTAGTCCAGCACTATCTAGTCCTGCAACATCCGTGGTCCGGTATGATTTTAGTTAGTCACTTGTTCACTTATCATGAGTGTGGCAAGCTACCTGTGGTCCCGTAAAGTTTGTTTATACCCATGAGTCCTGGGTCTGTGGTTCTGGGCTGTTATGTAGCTCTAATTTACCCTTAAATTTTTTCTAAGAACCCTGTAAGCATTGGAAGTGGTAATGCTGCTAGACAATATTTATCTACCATGGTTCGACAAATTCTCTGGTTCAGCACCAGTCAGGTCCCAAGGGCGCTGGACTAGTGGTTGAACTAGTAGTCATTAAAAGCACATTTAACAGATATTACATTAATCTATTTGCTGAAGCAGTGATAGAATTATAATCCTATAAATTAGTTATAATTGGGGGGGGGGGGAGGCTATGATGCATGGGAGTGTCCTTTGCCAGAACTTCTCTTTTACTACTTTTGTTCTGGTCAGTTTTTTCCTACTGTTTTAACATACTTTTCTCCCTACACTCCCCTGCCTTCTAGTATTTCCTATTCTAGCTGCAGCTGGTGGTAGTGCAGCTTGACTGGCCTAGCCCCCTTATTGTTTACAGAGCACTTGGTTCATGCTTCAGTCATGTTGTCTTCCTGTGTTGTCATGTGACTTTCAGGTGCGCTGCCATGCCTTTGAATTATAAGGCTGGCTTCTCATGGATTGCACTGATCTGATCACTGTAGATTTATATATAATAATACATAGCTCTTACGGTTTTTCATCAGTAGATCTCCATGTTCTTTAAAAAGGAAGTCTCATTTTCCCCATTTTAGACACATTTATGGTATTTATAAGGTGCCATTTGCTGTGGTAAGTAGGGGCTATGTTGTCAGTGAAGATGAGACCATGTTCCTATGCATTTCCTTCCTATTACCTGGATTTAAGACTTCTGTCCTAGAAAAAAGACAATTCATGTGACTAGATCATTCTAGGCTAGTACCACTGTCCAGTCCAATAACACAGTAGGAGTTATTTTGTATGATTTGCAGTGATGACCTTTTTCTGCTATCTGCTTGCTGATCTCTAGAGACAAAAGGGTCCTTGCTTCACACCTGAAGATGCAGCTCTAGCTTCTACTGGTATTGGGAAACGCGATTCTGAAAGTGGCCTGCTTTTGTCTGAAAGTTCAGTTTTGGCAGTTGAAGAGTTAATCCAAGCATGTTGTGGTGGGTATCCGAAATTGATGGACCAGAATATTAAACTTCGCTGTGATCTAAAGGGAGCAAAAGCTCCTTTTTTATTAAAAAAAAAAAAAAAAAAAAAAAGAGAGATTTTGTGTCTTAAGTTCATGCTTATGCCTTGACAATAGTGAAAAGCTGGGGTCATATCCTCTCATTTCAAGCCTTGAACTGATTCTGAACCCAACTGAATCTGAATCACCTCATTTTGAGTTAGAAGGAGGAGAGAGTGTTTATATCTCCCATAAGACTTTTTGCAGCCTTACTGGTCTGCCACCAAGACTAATGTGCCTGCTTTTATGATGCCCACTTTTCAGTGTGTGTGTTGCGTGGTGTGGAGGCAGTTTTCTTGTTCGTCCTCCCAAAAGCAGTTTCCCCTAGGGCAAGTAGAATTTTGCAAGGCTGGTTCTGTGTCTATAGATTTTGGAGTCTGCTTTTTAGAAAGCTTTTTATTTTGTGCTTGTAAATCGATTCCCTTCTCCCCTTTATATAAAGCTATATTGTTCTGGTTCCCAAGTGCAAGTATAAACCTGTTTTGTGTAAACTGCTTTATCAATGCAAATGTGCAAATCCTGAGATTCTGTGGCATAGGGACACATCATACTAATTTATAGTAATGATCTATATCAGGGTATGTTTATTTTTCCAGAGGAAGATGATGGTTGCCCTGTCATTCTGGTGTGTGGCCCAAAAAGTACTGGAAAATCAACATTTAACAGATATCTTATTAACCTGTTGCTGAATCAGTGAGTTTTTTTTTCATCCCATAAGACTCAAATTTTCAAATGTGTTATGATCTGGGCAAGGAAAATTGAGGCAATTATTTATAAATAATTAGCGCGGATTTGGAGATTTTTGACAACATAAGATTTGCTTCATGTTGTTTGTAGAATAGACTCTTAGACTAATATTCTATTGTAATTTGACGACAACTATGTCTTTTGAGTATTTACAAGCTTTTTGGGCATGAGAGAGTGATATACAAGGAGGGAATATGACCACTCCTATTTTGCAGGAGAGAAATTTAAGTAGAAGTTTTTGACTCATCCAAAGTCTCCCATGTTTCTTGCCAGAGCTGGGAGTAGAATCCAGGTCTCCCTACTCTGTCCTGTGGTTAAAATTAGGGCCGTTAATTAAATAATCACAAGATTTAAAAAGATTACAACCAGTTTTAATAATAAAATAATAATTTACATGTATAATAAGTATTTTGGATGTTTTTCTACAGTTTCAAATGATTTCAGTTATACAGAATACAAAACATATAATGCTCACTTTATAATTTTATTACAAATATTTTCACTGCATAAAAGATAAGAGTATATAACAGTGTGATTGAAAAGCAATTGTGATTAATTGCAGTTTTATCTAGTTAGCATATATTAACATGAACAAATTATCTGCAATTAATTGGCAGTCCTAATACAAGATTATTTAATTTTCTTAAATGATTTTGGTTGTATAGTCCCCATCTGTCTGTATTACTTGTGCGATTTGGCTTTGATTGGCACTCTCTCTGCTCAAGGCTGGAATGGTATTGGGCTGTCGCTGGTCCACACCGTGCACTCTGCCTGGTGGTGTTGGTGGTTATAGCTTTTAGCTATAGCATAACAGTCCCCCAGACCGGGAGGAGGGAGAAAGCTAGTTTTCTTATTCAATGTCTGAGTTTCTAATTGTGTTCAGGGCTGGCAGTCTTTTCCTGACACATTCTAGACAAAATGCTACCATGTTTTGTTTACTGATATGCTAATATGCAGGACTTCTTAAAATATTTATCTTCTTTTCTTATAGCCTTCCTTGTGTTGAGTATTTGGAATGTGATCTGGGACAGACAGAGTTTACACCACCTGGCTGTGTGTCCTTCATTAATGTGTCAGAGCCCTGTCTTGGTATGTATTTTTGCTATATTCGCATCACCACAAATATTTTTTTACTATTAAAAAATAATAATAAAGATAATAAAGGTACTATCTATGCAGGATTCTCACTCCTGTGTCTTAACAGAGCCATGTTACCTCTATTCAAGGTTCAAAAAACCTTAGAAGTGAAGGAGGCCTGCCAGTCTTGTGCTAATGAGCTGAGGCCCAGGAGTGAAATCCTCCCAATTGATATCTCTAGGAAATCAGAACTACAAGACAAGTTACTCTCCTTTCTCGGTTTTTGCATACGTATGGGAGTGGATGATCTTTTTTGGTATGATGTTGGCCTAGGGTATACCAAAGTTACTTCATTTGACTCCGAGGGCAAGTCATTTAATCTCTCTGCTTCAGTTTTCCATCTGAGTAAGTGGGTAGAGCCCTGCAAATCTGTGGATGTGGATAGTCACAGTTCATTTTTGTGGATACAGATGTGGATGCGGCCTGCACAGAGCTCTAGAAGTGGGAATAATATTTGCATACGTCACTGAAGCTTTTGGATCTGTTTATTCATGTCTGAGATGTGCAGGTAGTGGTGTGGGTCATAGAAATACATGTTTTTAAATGTAAAAGGCCCTAGGACATTGGGCTTGTAACATTTCTCATCCCAGTTTTAAATTGTGAAGTTGTTAAGCTTGGAGTGAGAAAGAGGGAAGAATATTGGAAGTAGTGAAACTTTGTAAGTAGAAAGGCTGCTAGTAGGTATGGCCTTGGGTATTTCCAAAGAACTTTAGTTTCCAGCTACCACATCGTTTGGTTCAAGTTGGTTTACTCTTTGGATCAGCTGTTTGCCTTGGGGCTGCTCTGTCCTTACGAATGGAGGAAAGTAACATGTTTACAGTCATGCACACAGTCCATTTGTCATTCCAATGTAGTGTTCCTTTTTACTTCCAGACCAAAAACTGCTACCCAGCTCAAACTGTCCTCTAGACCAGTGTTTCTCAACTAGTGGTATGAGTACCCTTAGGGATACTCAAGAAAAGTCTGGGGGGTACATACGTCAGTATAACTGAAATTTGGAAAAAAACTGAATTTTTGTTTAATTTTTACAGCGCTTTATTTTTGTACTTTTTTCATCCAGAAATTTCATTATCTGCCCGGCTACGATTAAGTTGTTTAAACAAATGTGTTGCAATGGTAGGAAAAAAAATTGTCTGAAAACTGAAGGTACTGGGGTCGGTACTTATTTTTTTAAAGCTTTATAAAAAAAGGTTGAGAAACATTGCTCTAGAGTAGTAGTTCATCTGCATTCGTTGATAAACTCGTGTGTTTAAGAATTGTCCATTTTCATACATGAGTGGATTGATCAGGTTTCTGATACCGGGCATCAAGGCTACCTTTGGCTGTATACAATGAATTGAAAAGAAGTAATCTTCAGGGTAGAGGATAAGGGTGTTAAATATCAGTTAATTGAATAATCGATTAACATAATGAATTCTTACTGGTTACTCCACTAGTCTGTAGTCCCTGGAGGTGGGGCCAGGAGCCAGCGTGGTCAATGCTGTATCAGAGGCAGCAGTGCAGGGTGCCAGGCGGGAGCTGGTCTGCAGGGCTGGGGGGATGCATGTAGTTTTATAGCATTAACCCAGGGGTCTCCAAACTTTTCAGCCCGAGGGCCGCATTAACTATCAAACAGCAGTTCGGGGGCCGACTACACACTTGAGGTCCAAATAAAAAACAATCAAAACATGGATGTTGTTTTTAATTATTTATTTAATATTATTTTATTCAGTTATTATTTAATAACACATTCATACACTACACATGAACACCTGTATTAGTGTGAATGGTGAAATTGTTTCCTGGATGCCAAAATAGCAGACATTTCTGGCTTTAGATTTGTTGTCCCTAACATCAACAGTGACCTGAGATTATCATCGGACAAGTTTGTTCTCAAATTGTTCTTCACGTATTTCATTCTTGAAAATGTTTGTTCACACAGGTATGTTGTTCCAAAGATTGAAAGGTACCTTGATGCAAAAGTTTTGACATTAGGAAAGTCTTCCTTGGGCAAAAACTGGTAAAAACCCACCAGTCCTATTTTGAACTTGTCCCTAAGGAGGTCATTTGCTTGCAACTCAATGACTTCCAGCTGCAGTTCATCTGGGCAACTGGCCACATCTGCTTCAAATGGGTTTTGAAACAATCTCACTTCTTCTGCCTTTGAATCCAAAAAGGTCTCCACGGGCCGGATGAGAGGGCCTCGCGGGCCGCATCCGGCCCCCGGGCCGTAGTTTGGAGACCCCTGCATTAACCTATAAGCTTTTGCTTATCGGTTAATCGACTGCACTATGACACCCCTAATAGAGGAGGAAGGGTTTGTTGGAATAAGTGGAACGACTGAATATGAGTAACTTCCATCAGTATAGAAAAGGATGGCGCGTGCGTGCTTCAGGAATAGGGATTTTTTGTAACTTTTTATGGCAGATTTCTTTGAATTACTGAACAACTCCCAAGTGTTTCTATTTATCTTCAGTGTGTCCCTTTCAGGTCCACCGTTCACTCATCAGCGAATGCCACGTAAAATGGTGTATTATGGAGAAGCTAGTTGTGATCAGGATACCGAAAGATATATTGACACAGTAAAGTGTGTGTTTAACGCCTACAAGAGAGAAGTGCCTTTGGTCATCAATACAATGGGATGGGTGAAAGGTATGCCAGCATGCACCGTAACATTATACATGCCATAACGCATATTTTGCAGCTATGCTGAGACTGGAAAATATGACTCTAATTCTATGTGAGTTTATCTGAAGTCTCGTTAGGACCATCAGGGGTCCCTGTAAGCTGGGCGCTTGTGCGGCCCCTCGAGAGATTCTAATGCCACCCAGCTGATTAGCTGTGTGCCCACAGTTAGTTGTGTGTTAGTTTTACTGGTGGAACACATGTGCCTTCGTGCACGTAACATTATTCTGCAAATGGATGGAAATATTAGAGGGAACATTGCTCCTGAGTCTCTCATAACTAAGGTTCAGATCTGCAAGCTGCTTAGCTGGTGTGACTGCACTACCTTTTGCAAACTGTTTTCTCTCTCCCTCCCCTGATTCCCAAAGGTGTTGGATTGCTGCTCCTGATTGATATCATTCGACTGCTGGCACCCAGTCACGTTGTTCAAATCAGAGGGGAAGGCTTTAAGGATATGCCTCACTTTACCCCAGAATATATTAATCTTGCTACTGGCCTACATACAAAAGCCAAATTACAGGGCAAGTGTAAGAATATGGATGTGAGTGGAATGGAGGATTGGAAGCAGTATGAAGGGGAAAGCGACTTTCAGACACTGACTACAGGACATAAACTGCTGTGCGTACAACCTGAATTCCCTGGAGCGGGGAATGCTGGTGAAGCGTAAGTAAAAAAGCCGCCGCTCTAGCCTTGAAGTAGTGTTTCCAGTAGTTTGCATTTCAGCATGTCCTTCCCAGTGCTTTTTTTTTTTTTGTAAGACTCAAACTTGGTAACCAAAAAAAAAGGAAAACTTGTTGAGCACCCTTCCCTCATCCAAAAAAAAGCCACGTTGGGGGCCGAAATACAGTCATGGCCCCTTTAAGAGCCAAAACGTTGCATTGGGAGCTGGAAAAAAACTCATCACATCCCTAGCAGGATTCTGTCAGGAGACAAGCTGACCCAGAAAAACAGGTGCTGGTACGCATGGGAGAAATGCTATTCCTTTACTGTGTGCTGGGAAAATAGGTGATGGTATGCTGTTCTGGGCCGTACCATCACAAAAAAAGCACTGGTCATTCCCAATCACTAAACTGTAAATGCAGAATGCAGAATTCTCTATTTGATGTTACTTTCATAGCGCCACACTGTAGCTAGATTAAGAGATTTGATGGTAGATGGCTCTTGAATCTAATGGGAAAAGGCATAGCAAAATCCAATGTTTGGAAATGGACGTTAGACAAATTCAGACAAGAAACCACATTTTTAACAATTGTGAATAACGTAAGCAGGGATGGGATGGATTTGTCATCACTTGACATCTTTAAATGAAGACTAGAATCTCGTTAGCTATCCATAGCTTAAACAGAAATTGTAGCTGTCGCGCACAGGTTACTTGGCGTGGTTCTGTGGCATGTTTTGTGCAGATTAGATTAGACTGTCATAATGTTCTCTTTTGGCCTTAATATTTACACACTTTTGCTTTTTATGTACTTTTTAATATTCAAAACATTCATTAATGACCTTAGAATCAGTCTTTCATTCATGATTTGGATAAATTGATTTTAAAAAATGAAAACACTGAGTTTTACATTTTTAATGGAAAATGCGGAGTGTTGCCAATTTGTTTTCAAAGTCCATTTTAAAAGCCATTTTTGGATGACAAGCATTGTCATGTTCTTCTGATCAGTTCATGTAAGATGGTTATGGCTGAATGGCAGGCTTACGTACCAGGCACAAGCCAATCGCAACTTCACTAGTGAGTCACAGTTGGGGAACTGCAGTTACTGTGCTGAAAGTCTGTAATGGCCAAGCAGTGCTCCTAGTTTTGATGTAGTAAAGCTGCAGACAGAAAGAAGCCCAACACCTCTTCAATACGCCGTTTAGCTACTCTGGTCTAAGGGCAAGCTTGAATAGCTGATCTTCATCCAAAGATTGAATGCATCAGGAATAGCCTCTCCTTTGCGCTCATCCTGTCGCTTGCTTCCTGGTTCTTGGCAACTGGACATGTCCTGGGTGTGTGACTTGGCTCTGCAGAAATCTTCACTGAAGGACTATTTAATAAAGCATGACTGGGGTCACTGGCTAAGACCGTGGGTTTTTTTTTTCTCCTTGCTCGCAATTGGCTACTAGAAAATTCTCCTGGCTGTCAGGACAGGAGCAGAGAGTCAGAATCCTGAAAAGTGACTGCTGCCTAAGGCAAACCGCCTTCTAACTCCATTCTGTAACTGAACTCAGGGACCCTCAGACTCACCTAGGAGAGGCCATGGAGGTTCGGTCCATCTATGGCCATTAGCCAGGATGGGCAGGAATGATGTCCTATCCTCTGTTTGAAGCCGGGAGTGGGCCACAGGGGATGGATCACCTGTTCTGTTCACTCCCTCTGGGGCATGTGGCATTGGCAGGATACTGGTCTGATCCTGTATGGCTGGTCTTACTGAAATAGAGCCAAACAGCAGAATTTTTAAAATAAAGCTGTTTAAAATATTAGCTAAAACAAATAGCACACTCCAGTTCTGAAATGCGGGAGTGCCTGTGTTTGAACTGGAATATGACTGTTTCATCTGTGTCATTTGTTGTCTTATTTCTCCAGACGGGTCCATAGCAGTATCCTCCGGGACATGGCAATGTTAGGTTATCTTGGCCAGCTTCAGCCTCTGGAAACGAGATCAGTACTTCCCTTACACAGTCTGATTCCCTATCAGGTAACGTAAGCATTTGTGAACACACTGAAGATGCCATTTTGGTGCCTGGACTCATAAGGCTGATTGTTAATAATCTAGATTACTGGGTTTTACGGAACAGTCAGCAAAAATACCGTCCCAATGTCAGAAAAGTAATTACCAACTTGTAAAACATCTCTCAGGTTAATATTTATGCTAGCTCTGTCTGTGGTAAATACTGTTCCTGTCTTGGTCAGTCATTTGCGATTACAAACCTGTGTCGTCTCTAGTGTAGGTACGGGACACAGTGCAGTGCAGCATATGTGCATTTGTGGCTACAACAACATTGCATGTAGTTATCATGATACAAATAAATAGCGGACTAATTGAACTAATGATTCATGGCTTATTTTCTAGGTACCTTTCAATGCTGTTGCGCTCAGAGTTATTCACACCGATGTTGCTCCTACACAAATCATGTATTCAGTAAATGCCAGCTGGGTCGGTCTCTGCAGGATATTGGACGAGGTCAGGTGTCAGACTGATGGGCCAATCTTGCTTACACAGACACCAGTCTGTGATTGCTTGGGCTTCGGTGAGTGAATCCTGGGTAGACTCGAGCATATCTTAAACTAAACTGCCACTTCTTATCATATATTGAAACAGCAGCATAAAGGAATCCTCTGTTCTAACTAATGTTTTAATCACTCTTTCAAATGTGACTTGAAAAATAGGAGGGGAAAAAATAAGCACACTTCTCTGAACAGGGCTACAGCAAAAGTGGCCTGAAATCTGAGTCTTACCATAGGATTAATCTGTCTGGTTTTGATGCAACAATTCTCAGCTGTTTGATATCAGGAGTATACAGGGTTCCCTCCAACTCTGCAGGGACATAGCCACAAAAAAGTTTAACTTGGCAGTGGAGGGCAGGGAGGGAAACGGTTGAAGCAATGTTAGCACATGGGAAATCAGTCCAGAAGTGCAAAGAAGAGGCTTCCCTTATAGCTTTAACGTGACCCTGCTGTCTACATGTTCCTTGTTTAATCTGCATTTAATGGCAAATACCTTTTATTACAAACCATCGCAGTGTATGTTGCTATTGGACTGTAAATATTTGCATTTCCTCCAATGATTTGTAGTTATGCAACTTCAGCATTGCTTTGACGTGTGCCTTGACTCCTGTTTTGAAAACGCACACAGCATTCTGTGTGGCAAATCTGAGGAGTCTGTTGCTGCTCCTAGAAAGAACTAGCCAGGTGTTGACATCTGGGGTATTTGGGTTTTTCATGACTGAAGAAGGATGGAGAGTTGGGGAGAAAGACCAACAGGAGTGCCAGGAGACTCTGATTTTGGCCTCTTGTCTTTAGGAGCATGATTCCTATTTATGCCTAACACACTATATAAGAAATGACCAGGCTGTGTAAGGATTTTGAGCTGTACGGTGATTGTGCATCCCACGGTAGTTCAGAGGATTTAAGACTGAATTGTAAATATATTTTAAAGGCATTATCCGAGCGGTTGACACGGAGAGGAAGCTTTACCATATTCTGACCCCAGTACCTCCAGAAAACTTAAGACTTGTCAACTGTCTGCTTCTGGGAAGCATCACCATTCCAGATTGTGTCTTTACAAACCAGGTAAGGGCAACTTCTGAGGATTTTACAACGGCTTCTCCCTACACAGCAAGGTGACATGTATTTTAGTTATAAAGTATAAAATCTATTTTTGTATTAAATCATCTATGTGGAGGCATGCATGAGCTGGGAGGCTTATGGGTATTAGCTGTGGTTTAGGGCTCCCGAGAAAGGAACAGTTTGTATTGAGTGTATTAAGCTAGTTAACATATGTAACCCAGTAAGTTGAGATTTCTGTTTTCAGTATTAAATTTGCTTTTTAAAATCTTGTGTGTTGCAGTACAGGATGGTCAGAGCTGCCCAATTCTGTCAGTCTGCATAGATGAAGCGGAACAAAGTAATGTTCAGATGGGCAGTGTCTTTCATTTGTCTTGGTGTGTCTCAGCAGGGACCTGAGGGAGAGATCCCTTATGTGACATCCGAATACAGTTATGACATTTCCGGAGCTGGGAAGTTGAAAATGAAGAAGCATCTCAAGAGAAGAGAACACAGTAGACCATAAGCTCTATTTAAAGCCTTGTGAGAGAATGAATTACCAGGCTTGTTCCTAAGGGTCCGGGGAGCTTCCCAGAGAACTTGGCACATTCTGTGGCCTTTGCTGGTTCCAAGAACTGTGAGAGGAGGAACAGTTAGCATCCAGTGCAGATTGTGCAGTGCTTACCTGCCAGCCAGGTTTTATACTTCTGTTTATTTACCATTGTGTGTTATAGTAAAATCTATTAAACTTCAGTTTGTTTCTCTTTCAAATCCCCCATTGACCCACATATAGCGGGGATCACTCTGTCCCACTTATCCTGAAGGTGATGTACCCTGAGTAAAGGCTCCATTGTGCTTTGAACCATAGGAAGGGGATGCCATGGAAAGATACTTTTAAACCTCTCTGGCTAATTTCAGTGTATTGATAATCTCAATCTTCAGTGATTTAACTGCCGCTGGATTGATCCTCATTTCATGTCTTTTGTTCAGCTGGATCATTTCTTTCTGAAAACCAGTAACATCTTGTAAATATTTCTATAGTTTTTCAAGATCTATAACTTTCCAAATAGGGTCGCTAGAGGGAAACCGGTCACTTGTCAGTGTTGTGACCTTGAGTTGTATCTGATTGATTGAGATGGCACTTAGGTGTGAGTGCTGTGAAAAACCCGCATGAGAAGAGAAGTGACTAATAGACTTTATCTAAGCTTGCTAAAAGCGTAGACCGCTTGTGTCTGCAACCCAGTGCAACTCCAGAATGAAGCTGGAGCTGTTCTGTTGGCAATAGGGAATGGCAATAGACTTGTTACTTCTAAAGCATGCTGTTTAACTACAACATTCATCTTGGTTTGGTCTGTCTTTGATTCCTGGATCTTTCTTTTACTTCAGTCTGAAAGTATCCATGTTTGAGGAAGCGATTTGTCTCTCTCCATCTAACTACCCACATCTTCCTAAATCAGCTATGCTGGTGATGGAGACTAAAATGTTAATAGAAGGAGACTACGTTTGTGACGTACCTGTGTCACTAGCAGTAACGACTGTCTCACTAAGTTCTGCTTCCTTTGAGAAGAGCTGGCCTGTACATTTAGTGGCATATGATCTGGTTTGGTAGTAGAGAAAATACTTCATGGTCTTCAATTTGGGGTGCTAATTCTTTCCAGTTGGTGAGTAGACTTGTTGGCTGTTCTCATCTCAGTTTGGAGCCAGAAATAGTATCTAAGGAACAATCTTTGGGAAATGGGCTCTTAATGTGTCTGTGCTAAAAATGACTTCTGGCTTTTGACTGCAGTTCCTCAAAAGGCACTGAAGACAGCTTGGCTCTGTCTACATTTGCAGTGAAGTTGTTTTTAAGCCTGGTTTGACTTAATCCTATTTGTAACAACAGTAAACGTACCTGTGTGGGCCAGGCCCTAGTCCACTCAGCTTCTGGTTCAGTGTTTGGGGAGCTGGGAGGTAATACACGGACTCTAGTGGCGGCCGGGGGGAGGGGGCGTATAGGAAATAGCAGCGGACTGAACTAGACCCAAGAAAAGCTTTCCAGTCCTGAGTGAGGCGAAGTTGCCTTCCTGCGAAAGAGACTCTGGAATCTTTGGAACTTGGGTCCTGTTTGCAGGCGTCCTGACACAGCTAACACTAGGCTGTAAGAGGAGGAAGGCTGCAGCATTGTCCGGAGTGTCAGGCTCTTGGGCTGCACTAACACTGCTCTGAAGAACCCACCAACCCCCAAGAAATGCTTTTTTCCGGTTCTTTAAGAGAGTCCCGTATCCCCGTCACATGCAGAGATGTGTGCGCCAGCGAATGGAACGGGGACTGCTTTTACGGGAAGACGTGCTGCACTGCTGCCTTGGAAAGAGTTAAGGCTTTAACTTAATCCAGTCTTAATTCTCTCCATATGGCTGGGTCTGGCAGCACAGGAAAGACTTGGCTGACAAACTCGCCTGAACAGTGGCTAAAATAAATATGGGGGCCATCTGTGCAGCAAGGGGAAAAATCCCGCCTGTGAACCACGGGGCCGCCTCAGACGGGTCCTGCCAAGTTCAAGGTGTAGCCAAGGCTTGCAGGCAAGGCGGGGGAGCAGAAAGGAAACACGGGCCAGTTGTGAAAGGGCCGTCTGCTGTCTGTCTGTGACGTCAGCGCTGAATGGAGGGGGCGGGACAAGGGGACTAAGCTGCTGCTTTGCCTCTGAGCAGCTGGGTTGCTGTGGCAACCCGTCCTGCTGCCGTGGTGATGCCCAGTGGCCTGTGCTTTGAGTTTTCAAAGGGACAGGGGCTCTGGTTCAGTGGAGAAGGAAAATATCTGGGGGGAGCAAATTTGGTGCTGCCACAAAACGTCAGAGCCTCCCTGCCTGGCACAGGGTGAGAGGCTGCGGCCTGGAGGCTGGTGGGGCTGAGCTGCGGGGGGAGGGAGGCGTTACGACTGGCGGAGAGGGGAAATACGGAAACCCAAATGGGAAGGCGAGGGAAGTGCGCAGCTCTAGACTCGACCGCACCCAAGGGGCTCTGTCTGGGAAGAGCCCCGCTGCGGAGGCCAAGCACGTGCTGCTTTTCGGGTCAGTGGAGCAGCTCAAGTCCGCACTCTCCGGTGTGGCTGTTAGAGGAGAGCAGTGCAGTGCAGCGAGCTCCTTCCTGCAGCAAGCAGATCCCTGCGCCGTGGTGTTAACGGGGGCCCTTCTCCTGCAGGGCCTGGTGCTGTGAGGCCAGGCTCCCACACTGACAGCTATGAACTCGGGCTTCACCAAGTATGGTTCCCCTCCTCGGAGCTGGCTCAGTCTGCGCCTGGGGACGAGTGAGTAAATTCTCTTCCGCACTGAAAACCCGCGCAAGGCAGGCAGCTGCCATTCTCTGTAGCGCTGGGCTCGGGACAGATAGGAACTGACCCGTCAGCTGCCTGCTTTCTGATAGCTTCTAATCGCTCACTTGGCATCTCACTGTGTTGCTCCAAAGGTGTGCTCGTTAATTGGCGTGGTAATGAGTTAATGGTGTGGGAGCGGAGAGCTCTGCAGGGAATTAGCAGGGATGTACTAGTGAGAGATGGTCTGGCTCTAAATTACGGAGCGCTTCTCCAGCGGGAAGGCGCGGCGCAGGGCAGCTGGCTCCCTGGCATCCCTAGGGAGAGAACAAAGCAAGCCCTAACTGATGCTTAAAGGCAGGTGCTGCCCCTTCAGTTAGTGCAGGACTGGTCGGGGAAGACCCAAATCCCTGGCCTCCTCGGACAGCAGCCCCCTGTGCACATGCCAAGGGGAAGCCAGGCAAGAGGGTGGGGGATGAGACTTGGAGCCTTTGATACGTAACGTCTGTCAAAATGTTTCACGTTCTCTTGGCCTGTCTCTTGAACGACCAACCTTGCGCTGCAGCCTTCTCGGATGCTGCGCTGCGTAAGGGAGTCCTGGGCCCGGCCCAGCGTGAGCACGAGCCACATGGTGGCCCCCTAGGAAAGGGTGGGGCGGGGTACCCTGTTCACTACTGATGCACCCGGCTCCAGGTCTCTTGGCATGGGTGGCAGTCGTTTGCCGTAAGCAAGTCGGGAACTTGGACCCCCTCTGGATTCAGCGCAAGGTCATTGGAACAGGAGCAGGCTGACTTTTGTCTGCTGTTCAGGTGGCTTGGTTAGTTCTGTCCTTGCCCGGCCTGTGTCGTGCGGCAGACTTCCAGGGAGGGGCACGCGGGAGCAAGTGGCATTCTGGTTGGGTGAGCGAGTGAGGCAAAGCTGGTTTCAGTATGCTCGCACCTTCACAAAGCCACAGCGCCATTGATGGAAGGGCTCTGTGGGGCAGGCCTGCGGATCCGTCTCACCTACTTGCCCATTCATTGGGAGGCTCATCCTAGCCCATGGCACTGGGAACACACAGGCAGCACTTAAATGGACGGAGTGATATCCTGAGGCCATGGGGCTGCACTGAAGCTGAGGTATCTGGCTTGTCAAAGGGGTTCCTTCTGCATAGCTTGGAGAGCTGTCTGCAATACTCCCAAAGGCCTTGGGTTTGACCTGAGGCTCTTCCAGCCCTAGGATTCTGAGTCATGGGGGGTTTCTCTACAGCCTAGGGGAGGGAGGGTGTGTGTGTGTGTGTCCTGCATTAACAACAGGCTGCAGCAAAGAACTTTTAGCTCACAACACAGCAAGGGAGAAAAGGAGACGGGCCTCGCAGGATGAGGAAACGCTTCGGGCTCGGAAGCCCCTGGGCTAGTGGAGCTATAATCTCACTTCTGTGGCTGCTGCTGTAGGCACCTCTCTCTCTTTCTTGCACCACATCTCATTTTGCAAAGGCCCAAGGCAGAACATTAATCTCTGGTATCTGATTCTTACCCCTGAATAAGGGGCTGTGAATTTCGGAGGAGGGGAACTCAATCCATGGGGACAGCAGGGAGCATCATCCCCACCAGGATGGATAAAAACAGATTTCAAACCTTGATTTTTATCTGAGAACATTTTTCTTTAAGAATCAGTCTGTGAAAACTAAACCTGAAATCATTGCAGCATGTGCTGGGCCTTAGCCGTAACCTAATCCATGAGCCCCGTTTCCATAAAAAGAGCACGTTACATCAATGAAGCCGCCTCGGATTTTAAGGAGGTGAAGGGGCCGGTTTTTAGGTGGGGAGCAAGGAGCAAAACTGCATTTTTGTATATCTATATATCTGCAGAAATGAGCTGCAGGTATCCGCATTGACCTCCGTGGATATCCATGATCTGGGGTTCCTATCCCACTGGTGAGACGTGCGCTAGATCTTCTTTCCATTCACTTCCCAAGGGTTGCTCGAAGAAGATGCCACCTCTGTTTCTAACTGGATTGAACAATGCGGCATCCTCCGCTTTCCCTGGGGCTTGATCCGAATGCAGTGTAGCAGGGCTCATGGGACGCTCGGGAGACAGAGCCTGAATTTTCTGTTGCTCACCTCCTCTCTGCTCCTAGTTGTACCCTCTTAGATGCACTGTCTATATTTCATAGATTCCAACGCCGCAAGGGACCGTCTAGTCTGACCTGGGTGTAACAGGCCAGGGAAGGAACTCCCAGAGCAGGTCTCTTAGAAAAATGTCCAATCTTGATTTCCAACTTGCCAGTGATGGAGAATCCACCATGGACCCTTGCTAAATTGTTCCAATTCTTACTTGCTCTCTAGGTTAAAAATCCATGCCTTCAATTTCCAGCCTTTGGATTGTTGCACCTTTCTCTTCTAGTCTGCAGAGCCTATTTTTAAGGTTTTGTTTTCCAAGCAGATACTTATAGACTCTAATCAAGCCACCCTTTAACCTTTGCTTTGTTAAGCTGGGTAGATGGA